AACAACACCCAGAAATTGTTGTTACCAGGGCAGACAAGGGTAACATCACTGTTATCATGAACAAAGTTGACTATATTTCCAAATCCATGACCCTCCTAGCTGATACAAACATTTACGAACCTTTAAATTCAGATCCCACCGACCTTATAAATCGGAATACTTTGAAATTAATTGATTCACTTATAGAAAACAAGCAAATTCCCAAACCTCTCTCTCTACAATTAAAAACCTACAATCCCATTTCCCCAAAACTTTATTGTCTTACCAAAATCCACAAAGACGGTTTTCCTCTTCGACCAATAGTTGCTGACTTAAATTCCCCTCTTTGCAAATTATCCAAATTCATTAGTTCAATTTTATCCAATATCACTCATGATTCTCCACATTTTGTAAAAAATTCTTTCGAGCTCATTCCCAAACTTAACTCCCTCATTGTACCATCTGATTTTTCCTTTATAAGTTTAGATGTTGTTTCCCTCTTTACTAACATTTCACCTGACCTTATTCTTTCTGCCATAGACCATAAATGGGTTGATATTAGTAAACACACAGATTTTAATTTTTCTTGGTTCCTGAAATGTATTAAATTCATTATTTCTAATACTTATTTTTCGTTCAACGACTGTTTTTTTAAACAAAAATTTGGCACTCCAATGGGTTCCAGTTTGAGTGCCCCACTTGCTGAACTTTGTATGCAGTTCCTAGAGAACTCTACACTTAATACCTTGTCTTATGTACCTCTTTTTTACAAACGTTACGTTGATGACATTTTAACTTGCATTCCTACTTATAACATAACCAATTTCCTAAATTCTTTTAATAATTTCGACACACACCTTTGTTTTACCGTAGAGACCCAACTTAACAACTCCATTAATTTTTTAGATATTACCCTTTTTATAAATAACGGCTCCATCACTACATGTTGGTATCAAAAATCCACTTGGTCTGGACGTTATTTAAACTACCATTCCTATCACCCCAAATCGACTAAGATTGCATCTATCATCAACTTACTAGACCATGCCATCCTTCTTTCTCATCCATCACATTGGGAAAAAAATATCAATTTGATATATTCTACCCTTCAAAATAATTCCTATCCACTACAACTTTTACGCTCAGTAATTAATAATAGATTACCATTTCTTCGTAATAAATTCCGTACATCTTCCTCATTTACCTCCCATTCACAACAAAATAGCATCACTTCACAAACCCTTAACCCTGTTCCTGAAAATTCACTATCTCTCAATTCCTTCATCTCATTACCGTACATCGATTGCCTTTTCCACTCATGGAAAAAACTTTTTTCGTCCGTTGGTCTGAAGCTAGTGTGTTCGACTGGACACACTCTCTCAGACTTATACACTAATTTAAAAACTCCTACCCCTATTTCCCGCACGTCAAACGTTGTATATGTCATTGATTGTAATGATTGTTCAAGTTGTTATGTTGGAGAAACTTCACAATTTCTCTCAAAAAGAATACGCCAACACGAACTTAACAGTCTTAACAGGAAACAAAATAAAACCATGATCACCGAACATGTCTCCAACTTTAAACATTCTTTTAATATCGCCAATCCAAGAATTATTCATCGAGAAGCCAACACTTTACGCAGGAAGTTTGCTGAGAGTATTTTTATACAAATATTACCTACTATTAACAAACGTTTTGATTCGGCTTCTCTTTGCAATATTTACCGAGATGCTTCGAACAATTTTTTCAATATTCGCAATACTTCCTAACAATTCTTTTATGTTATATATATATATGTATATATATATATATATTTATATATATATATATATGTATGTATGTATGCGTATATTTATGTATGTGTATATGTACATTTATACATGTTTTTGTTTGTTGATATACATGTATGGGCATATATGTTGCATTTGTGTGCATATTTGGATTTTACATATATGTTGTAATTGCATGTGTGCATGTGGTCGTTTATGTTAGTTATGTTTTGTGTATGTGTATGCATATGTACAATTATTATGTTGCGTATATATACATATATATGTTTTGTTATAATTGTTTATATAATAACTTGCTTTTTAACTTTTATCGTTTTCAGTTAATATCTATACTTTTTCTTAATATAATTCTCTATTCACATATTTTTTACATTGTGCTGTCTTGGTTTTATTATGTTTCTATATTTTTATTTTGATCCGTATATTTCATTTTGATCCAGCTTTGTTCAACCGTCTGATTATGGATGACTTACACATTTAAAAAAAATTTCTATGTTCCTTGCGCATGATCGCTGGAAAATTCTTCATAACTGTAACCTCTAAAATTCTCTCTATCCCGTTCTCTCATCCATTGACGATACAGTTTCCACTATTTTCCGCTGCAAACACGTAGGCCTACATTTCACTTTCGTTTACACACACGTAACTCTGTCTCCAAACTAACAAGATGTGTTTTGGAATAAGCCTTTTTATAATAAAACATATTATTTATTTTAATTTTTACAATTTTCAAAAATTTTCATAAAATTGATGTTTTTTCAATTTATTTTCATACTTATTTTTTCGCTACAATTTTGTGTTGTGCTTTGTGTTATATTTTTTTAAAAATTTATTTGTATGGTGAGTCTCTTTACATTTGTTTTATTTTATGTTGTTTTTTCATATATACTTTTCATATACATTGGTTCTACTTATTTTTGTCTGTAATTATGTATCTTTTATATTATTTTTTATATTGTTTTAATTTGTAACCCCGATATATTTATTTGTAGCACTGAAGATGGGTCAAATCTGGACCCGAAACGTATGTTCTCTTAATTAAAACATTTTGCATTAAAACTGTTTTTTTAAATTATTGGATGGATGCCCAAGAAACAATTTTTATCATATATATATATATATATATATATATATATATATATACAATGATACACACGTGTGCGTGTGATGGATCCATAGACCTTATACTACATTGTATATGTGAAAATACAATATTTATTGGCACAATTTTTATTATAATAAATTATGAATGTGAAGTGAGGTTATTTCGAATTGGTATGAACAAAAATGTAAATAATCTAAAGCATCTTTGAGCTTTATTTGTGCTGAATAGAAGACTTATTTGATTCATATATATTTCATATATGGGTCAATCTTTCACAAACCGCACACCGACCAGATCTTGACATTTGAACATTGTCTGATTTTTTTTTATAGATATTAAACATAAAACCATCTGACACGTATTTCAGGATTTTTTTTATTGAAATATGGATGATGTGCTCAATTTCAATGTATTATTTTTATTATATTTTACTCATATTAAGGTCAACTTTGTTATAATTAAAAAAAAAGTTTTTGCATTTTTCTTAACAATAACAACCTCTAGATATTCACTAAAGTTTTACCTAACCTTCTCTCAACTCGAAACGATTGAAAAAAAACTTTTTTTTCTGCTGCAAAATTCTTTTTTACAATTTGTTGGAGACTTTGTTACATCAAAAGATGTTAAATATTTTCGAGCGCAAGTCACGCTTTCCACGCCAGGAATCTCAAAGACTTGTACGCATTTGTCACTTTCGAATGCTCATCTTATTGTTTTTTGTTGAAAAATATTTTATAAATTTGTTTATGGAGACAAATGAATATATATAAAAAAAATATTAGGGGAGAACAGCGCTTAAAGGTCCGCGTGTAAAAGTTCCACTACCCATATCTCAAAAACAAATAAAGTTAGGAACTTTTTAATAACAATATTTTGAAGAAGGAGGACTTTTAAGTTAGATTCAACCATTTTTTCTAATTAACGAAATATATTTTTCAGCTATTTTCCCGAAATTTGTCATCTTTTCCTTTTAGCCCTTATCCTGGGTAAAAAGTACAGCCATCGTGCAAACAGATACAATACCTTATTCTTAATTTTTAAAGAATTTTACGAAATATTAGCTCATGGGCATATCTTTTACAAAGAATTCACCATATATAACTTTGATTTGTTCATATTCATAAGCAGAGTTGGTATTACTCTTAATTTATCCATTGTAAAAGTGCTTTTTTCTAACTTAATTTTTTTTTTCACATTTTTTTTACTGTTCACACCTTTGCCAGCTTGAAGGTTTAGTTGGTCTTTTTTACACCACTCACATGTAAGCTTTCATTGAGATAATTGAAAAATCTCTCTACTTTTAAATATTGCTGTTATGAAGTTCCTAACTTAACTTGTTTTTGGGATATTAGTAGTGAACCTTATAACCCGCGGACATTCAAGTTCCGCTCTCCCCTAATATATTGTTTTTCGACTATATTCATGCTCCAGAAACAAAATCATAAAATATTTTTCAACCATAAAACAGTATGTAAGAAGGGCATTCGGAAGTGACAAATGAGTACAAGTCTTTGTACCCGGCGTGGAAAACGCGACTCGCGCTAAAAAATATTTAATACCTTTCGATGTAACGAGTTTCCAACAAATTGTGAAAAAAAATTTGTAGCAGAAAAAAAATTGTTTTAATTGATTCAAGTTGGGGGAAGGGCGAATAAAACCTTTGTGAATATTCAGGGGCTTTTATTGCTAAGAAAATTCCAAAAACATTTTGTTTAATTATTATAAAGTTGACTTCAATATGAGTAAAATAAAAAAAATACTGTTGCGATCAGCACAACTAGAAATAATTAATTTGACGCAAAGGGTGTTGAATACAATTGTCATGCATTCTGATTGCTATTGAAAATAAAATTAAACAAAAAAAAATTGAGAAAATCATCAACATTTCAATTGTAAATATTAACAAAAACAAATTCTTCAGCAAACTCTGGAATTTATATCTGTAAAAATTTATTTACTTTCACGATTTGTGAAAGAATACCAATTGCATTTCTATGTCCTACAAATATATTGTATGTGTTGCAGTTAATAAACTAGGAATGTTTCATGGAAGAGCTTATACAATGAAAGAAAAGAATTTCAAAAAAATTTCAACATATTTGTGGTTTGCTTCAAGAAATTAGATATCAGGATCCTCCAGAAGACTCCAACTTGAATTTGACCTATGATATTTGTGCACAACGTGGATTGAAGAATTTACGAAATGAATATCCTGATGACGATAATATGCAAAAATTTGTTACTGAAATTCAGGTGCCAATTACTAATATGATGCTTATTTTACAAATTATTTACGCTTAATTTTTTCTATTTCTTTTTAGAGATTATTTGAAAAAGCTCTTGATTATGCCAGAGACCTTATTAAACCTTCAGGTCTATTATCTGTTATATGCCATGGTGATTACCTAAGAAATAATGTCATGTACAAATATGATGATACAAATCAACCTATAGATTTGATGATGCTTGATCTGCAGACATTTCGGTACGTCAACAAGAATAATATTTTGTTTTTATGCTTTAAAAATTACTTTTCGAACTGATTTGATGTTCATGTCATGAGAGAATGCATTTAGTTTTTTTTTTTAATTTTTATTTTCAATAGCAATCAGAATACATGACTATTCTATGAGCTATTTGGCTTATGTCATTCACTCACACACATACACACACACTTGCAAACACACATATAAATTTATCGGATCAATATTACAATCATATTTAGAGAATCACTTCAATAAATGATTCAATTATTCTGTTCATATTATCTAAGGTTCCTCCATATTATCTTCGTGCAGCTTCTTCTTCAGTCTTCTTGAAGTTGATGTCTCAAGAAGCTGAGTGACTATATGGTTTGAATGATGTTGTAGTTTTTGAAAATGTTTTATACTGTTGATTTGTATTATTCTGTTTATAAAATCAATATGAAGATCGTCGTGTAAAGTTTTATTACTAACAAACCACGGAGCATCAGTAATCTGCCTCAATATTTTCGATTGGGCACGTTGCATTAACGCTATGTTGGATTTGCTTGCACAGCTCCACAATTTAATGCCATAAGTCTATATGGGTTTTATTACTGCCTTGTAAATTAGAAGTTTATTATCAATCGACAAAATTGACTTGCGTCCCAGTAGCCAGTATAGTTCAGCGGTTCTAATTTTTATAGTATTTAATTTGGCGCGAATATGGTCCTTCCACGTGAGCCTGCGATCTAAATGCATACCTAAGTATTTGACGCATTCGGTGCTTGGAATTGCTTGGCCATAAAAATGTACTCCTGGGCATGTTGTCTTGTTCAGTGTAAATGTTATATGATTAGACTTGCTCTCATTTATTTTTATTCTTCATTTTTTTTGTCCAATCCTCTATAACATTTAGATGCCTTTGTAAAATTAGCGAAGCCTTAGATGCATCAGCATGTGTCGAAAGAACTGCTATGTCGTCAGCAAATGTAACTGTTGTGGTTGATCGTAAAGTTGGAAAATCACTAGTGAATAGGATATATAAAAATGGCACCAAAACACTGCCTTGTGGAACTCCTGCCTCAATCTGATGAGATATTGAGGTTTCAGTGTTGACCCATACTTTGAATTTCCTATTGGCGAGATAAGATTCTAGAATATTATAATAACCACATGGAGGTAGAGATCTAATCTTCGATAAAAGTCCCTTGTGCCACACCTTATCGAAAGCCTGGCTCACATCTAGAAACACTGCAGAACAGAATTGTTTGGCCTCGAAGGTATTGTTGATGACTCTTACGATTCTGTGGCACTGTTGAATTGTAGAGTGTTGACTCCGAAAGCCAAATTGATGTTCTGGAAATATATTCGCGCTAGTTAGGATATGTTGAAGCAGGAGTTTTTCGAGCACTTTTGAAACAATTGGTAGAAGGCTGATTGGTCTATATGAGATAACCATATTAGGATCTTTTCCGCTTTTATGGATCATTTTTACTACAGATGTTTTGTAGAGAGTTGGCCAATAATTTAATCTAATTATTGAGTTGAATATATACGTTAGAAGGATGAATCCCTTCTTTGGCAGTTCTTTCAACATTTTTGCCGTCACTAAATCGTAACCTGGAGATTTATTATTTTTCAGTTTACTTATCTCTTCAATTATAATCTTTAATGAAAAGAACTTTATGCTGTTCATTGAGTTGTGAGAAGGAATCATATTTGAGCTAAGGCCCGCTGCGTTAGAGTAATCTGGGTTCGGTTTGAAAACTGCACTTAAATAATGAGCAAATAAATTAGCTTTTTCTGCATCACTCCTAGCCCAAGATAGATTGCTGTCATCCCATCTAACAGGCGGATTTTGAATACGTGGTTTTAATTTGTTTTTAATTTAGAATTTTTTTTCAATCTGGATTTTAGTTTATTGCTTAAGTTATTGTATGTGTTCTTATCCGATGGAAAGTGAGTTGACTGCCATTTGCGTCTAGCTTTCCTTTTCTCTGAGATTAAATTTTTAATTTCAAAAGATAGAGGTTGATCCTGTTGAACTGTTGTTTCTGGAGTAGCAGTTAAAGTAGCATCATGAAGTGTTTTATTAAATTTGTCAATAGCAGAGTCAACTTCCAATGAGTTCTTAAGACTAATTTTGAGATCAGTATTGTTTTCTATTTTGCAGCGGTATAGTTCCCAGTTTGTTTTTCTCGAATGAAGTCTATAAGGTTTACAAACATTGATAATTGTAGAACAGATAGTAGCAGTTATAGGTGAGTGATCTGAAGAGAGATCGTAGCTTGAATGAACATCTGTGTACCTTGAGTTTAAGCCTTTGATTATGAAGAAATCCAATAAATCGGGCTTCTTCATTGGGTCAGTTGGCCAGTAAGTCGGAGTGCCCGTGGAAAGAGTACCATAGTTTTGTTGGACAATAACTTCATACAGTTTTCTTCCTTTTGGATTAATCAGTCTTAATGCATTTAGTAAAAGACTAAAAATGGTTAAATTGGATAACTGTGTTGGCTGGAGTCGAGCAGAAAGAGCATCAGTATAGAATGAGAGTTTAGATCAAACAGTTTGAAGCACAACTCAACGACGGACTCGTTTCTGATGCTATTATGTAGAAAGGAAATGAAGAAAACTTGCATATTTATTTCTTTTCTCTAGAAAAAGAGTTTAATGATGTCCTTGTGATTTTATAAATGTTTCGGGGTTGAAAAGACCTCCAGTTTAGATATGCGTGTGGAAAGAATTGGTAGAATAGCTATCAGATTGTTAATGTTTTAAAGATAGTTTCTACTAATCTATTAATAAGTCAAAAACTGGAAACTTCAAAAGAGAAATCATGACATCTATAAATTAGATGTCTTGTGACTGAAAAAGGTTAGAGGGCTGAGGACTCTTTTCGGATTGCTTCTCAATATACATATTGTATTTTACATGAGACAAGTTCAAAAGAAGAGACGCAATTTTAGTAATAAATATAACGATGAGTAGTGTGCTAATTGTGATTTTCATTTGTGTTTGTAAGTGAAATTCTGGTGATTCAGGTGCATATGCCCATAATAAGTAATTGTACAAACATGAAAGATACATGTTGGCTCTTGGCGGCAGAGGAGGGTTAACGCATAAATACTTTGGAACATCGATTTGCTATAAAACCTAGGATAAGCCAGAAAATAATTCTAAAGCGCAAAAGGTACATTAATACGGATTCAAGAATGTATCTACACAAATCTTTCCGAACAAATAAACGACGAAAAACTGTAGATATTATTTGATACTTCAGGAAACAAAAAGAAGAGGTTGGACGATTACACAGATCCACAAAAAGGTGGAAAATTGAAAATAGAAGAGGACGTTGGCAAAAGTTATTGTTTTGTGGAAGAATTAGATTAAAAAAATTTGCGATATATAAAATTTTTTCCGACAATATTGTGATAGAGAAATAGGAAAACATGATCGAAGACGGCCATGAACCATGCACTAGAAGTAGTTTTTACATATGAAGATGATCACTCTTTACAAGAAGGCCAAAACCGAATATCTAGATACTGACTGTTGTATCTTTAAATTTATTACGCCAACAACTATATTTTTGTGTAGAGAATTTTTCGATTAGGGGTAAAAATTAGCTAGAGCAATATGAAGGCATCATATATTTTTATGCGATGAAATCATTCTATAAAATCATATCGAAAAACTGGTGTGATATCGATATTTATTGGCCTATTTTGTCACTACATCTATAGATACTTCGAACTTATCGTGTGACAGTTGCATTTAGTTCCTTTTCAGAGTAATTTAAATTACACATTAAACCCAATTTTTCTCTGACTCGTGGAGAAAAGAATTGAAATGCTATATTAACAAGACATTATTGAATATTACCTTATCATAATATTATTACTATTATTATTATATTTATACAAATGCTTTATATTTTAGGTATGCATCTCCTGCAACGGATTTGTCTGTATTTTTATTTATGCATTATGATGGCAAGCAACTGATTGAAGACTGGGATTATTTCTTTAGTGAATATCATAAAGCGCTGGTAAATGAACTCAGCATTGGATTGGATAGGCCGATTAATGATCTCCCTGGCTGCTACAGGTTCGTAAAAATAATAATAAAAACCATTTGATTTATTTGCTTGTATTATATAAAATTCATTGGTCTTACTTTGCTGTATTTATATCCTCTGACTACATACATATTTAATTTACATATGGGGTAGATCGGGGCACAAAGGTCCAATTTGCAATAATTTCATAACAAATAACACATATCAAACAACTATCTGATTATGTTCAATACTTCCAGCTAATTCATCATTCTAGAAATGTGTTTTTTTGCTGTTTTTCAAAAATGTGTAACCAGATTCTTTTACCCGGGGTTAATTGGGGCGGCCAGTGAACAACATGTCTAATGTTTTATTTTAATCTTAAAGAGGTTTTACACAATATTAGCTGCATTATTCAACAAATGCAAAATATAAATTTCATGGATGCATTTTTTGCAGAGATAGCACTGTAAATAATTTTGATCTAGTTTTTCATCAGAAATATTAACCAGCAGAGTAGAAATAACTATTTATATAATTTTTTTTCTTGTGAAATTGCTTATTTTAACTTGATTTACTTTTTTATTTGCTATTTTTTATTTTTCACAACTTTACCAGTGTGAAGGTTTTCAGTTGGTCCCTTCTACGCCACCCAGATGTAAGCTTTTTAACTCCTGGATCTAACTTAAAATTAACAATACATCTTATAAACCAAATAAATAACGAATATTAACTTCTCGTAGGGTAGTTATAGTAATGGGCCAAAAATCGAAAATATAAATGTTCGCATATCTTCACGATTTGAAGGTTTCTGAACATTTTAGTATACCTCAGAAAAAATGGATGAGTGTGCATGTTATTTTTTTTTTCAAAAATTTTTTTGTATGTCGAAAA